CCAGCTCTTCCTGTGTTGACTGCCATTTCTCTGAAACAAGATAATTTGCATTTTGGAGCCCATGCTTGCTAGGGATATTTAATGGTGAACATTGGTTATGCTGGTATAAATCTGTTTGCTGCTTTTCCCAGAATGCTGTGGCTCACTTGTGGCTGCTGGAGGGCAAAGAAGGTGGGGCAGGCTCCTGCCTCCCTCCCAGGCTGGTAAACGTGCAGGAAGCATCACTACATATAGTATACATAGGGGGAGAAGATGGTTGGCTTTAGGAAAACCTCAGTGATGCCTGTTGGAATGTGTACGGGAGCAGGACTCACTCCAAGGAATTTCTACCAGTCTGCTCAGAGCTGGGAGTTGCTGAATGAAACCAGCTACAGTTCTGGCTACCAACTTGTACTAAGACCCATTTTTTCAGTAATAGCATCTTGATGACACTAGTAGTTATTCTTCTGGACTTATGTGAGTTTACAAGCAGTTGAAAATTGTGTGTCAGCCACATTTTGAAATTAAGGTTGAATTGCCATGAAAAGAAATATTTCACACTATATATCAGATTTCTTCACTCTTTAGTTATCCTTGTGTTTTCCTGTGTCTTTATGCCCCTGTCTGATGAGTCAACTGCTAAAGGACAGAAGATATCCTCTGAGAGTACAATTTACCTTCCCTGAACATAAAATCACTTTGGGTCTTTGATAGTTCTTGTACCTCAACCCAAACTGGTGTGAGCTCTTATGAAAACAGAAGAGAAGGACCGCTGAAATTTGATGTTCAAAGTCAGTAAAGACATTTTCTCAAACAAATAAATTTTGGGTCCTTGGTTCCAAAGGGATATATAAAAGACATCTTTAATATCTATGACCGAAAGCCATTTGCATGAAGCTGGGATTAGGGTGAATAAGTTACAGCATTACATTAATGAGATGGAAGTCCTCTACCAATCTCCTTAGGTTTCGACCTTTTTTTACCCCAATAATATGATTGTTATAAAAGCTGATTTTTTTTCTCTAAGAAGCCTCAGTATTACAGGTTGCTGGGAAACATTTCTTAGGCCACCCGAAGCTCTTGATGATAACAATTAGGAAGGATCTTTCAATAAATCCAGATCGGAATGAGAGTTCTGTTCCCATTCTCTCTCAACATGGAAGGGATCATTCATAATTCTAGTAAGGGAAACATTAGATAGCCTCTGTCCTAGTGAGAACAAGAGTTCTCCATGGCTTGCACAAGAATTGTCTCCACAGGAGTACAGTGGGGGTCTCATGAATTCTAAGAACTATGGAGCTGAAATGTACTTCAACACAAGAAATATAGGCCATAGGTTTACAGAAGTGTTCTAACGGGTGCCCTGAGACTCCCATAAATGTGTTAATTTTTAGAGGGAATGTCATGGGAGTAAATAATGAGAGAAGCTAGTGACAGTACCAAATTCAGAAATTAATAGATAATTCCCAGACACACAAATAAAGATTTTTAAGGCCTGAAATTGATAAATAGAAGTTAAAGCATCCATGATATGATATGTCCCCTATCCCCTGCACTGAGAGATCTTTACCATAAAAACTCTACCATTGGAACCAGTAAACAGGCTTAGGCATAGATTCTATACTGTTGCCCATTAGTGGCTATGTTAACCCACATTTTCATGTGTATCTGAAAAACCTGCTTAAACCATTGCTGGTAATAAAAATGTTCCCAGTGTACTTTCTTGTTAAGAAGGTTAAGGAGGAATTAAATGGTCAAGTGCAGAACAGTTATGAAGCCTTCTCTGATGAAAAGGCTATAATTATCTTGGAGTGTTGAAATACAGGCTATGCAGCACCAATAGTCTGATAAGACAGGGAAGAGTAATGCTGCATGAATCAGGGCCATTCAAATTTTCTTTCTAACTCAGAAATCCAAGGGACACACAAACTAGTTCATCTTGCTGTACTATTGTTGTTTCTCATGGCTTTCTCTGGATCCTTTGTTCTCTTTACAGTTAAGAAATGAGAAAATGAGGCAAAAGTGCTGCCCTTGTCAAAACCAATGTATCTGGAAGAAAATCAGAAAGTTAGGGTTGAAGTAATGAGTGTCAAGGTTTCTTTATTTTGTGGCAAATACAAAAAAAATATGCTGTCTTAGCTACAGACTGGACTGTAAGACAAAGGATGTTTGTCTCATGGCCAAATTGGTTTCTGATATAGTCATTTGGGTAATCCAGCTTAAAAAAATAACATTTTCTGGCTGGTACAATTCCAGGCCAGTCAGGCTCTTAGCCTTTGTTTCTGCAGAGCAAAAAATATCATTTAGATCTCAAACACACTGTAAATGCATGTGAGAGTTTTACAAGGGGCAGATAGTGCAAGCAAATGGGACACAATAAACATGGGATGTGCACGTAAAATTCCATTCCTCACCATGCAGTGAGTGGGAGGGTTGATGGGATACTCATGGCACATGTGTGAGGTTTCATTGAGGGTGAGACTGCTGTGTTGTGTGCTTATTTCTCTCCCATCAGCAGATCAGCTATTTTGTTTTATATCTACAATGTCTTCTAAATTTCACATGACCTTGCAAGTTGGTTGGTTTGAATGAGCCCTCTCTTCAATGAATTCATTCACTGTTGATTTTAGTATCAACATGTGGTGTTAGGTGGTGGGGAATTTTGGAAGGCATATTTCTAAGGACAGGACCTGGAAAAGTGTGTTCTTGTTTGCACATGCTACCAAATTTCCCTCCATCCATACTGCCGTGACTTAAATATCCTTCCTTCACCTTCCTATTTTGTCAACTACTTTGCATCCAGTAGACAAGTTTTTGAATTTGTAGAGCAATATAAATTCCTCTGAGTATATTTTATTATTTTTCTCAGTAAAAGAATAGGAATTAGGACACCGAATTACCATATGCTAAATTAGTTAAAAGTTTAGATACAGGTTCCAAATAAAAACTGTGAATAGTGTTCTCTCCCCTATCCAGCAATGTGGCCCAGATATTTACAAAAACAAAAGAAAGCAAAATCAGCAGTTCCCAGGGATCTGGGATTACCAGTTGTTCTTACTGAAAAGGGGACCATGAATCAGAGTGCGCAAGACTTTTATGAGTACTAATTGGGGAGGTAGGCATGGGTTATGGCAGAGTGCATGGAAGGAAACGTTACAGGTGTGGCTTGTATTAGGGAAACAAAGCACTTTTTTACCAGGCACAGAGGCTCCCTAATTAGTGGTGCAAAAGATAACTTGATGTGGGGAAGGCTGGCACATTTACTGCCACAAATGTATAATTCTTTTTGAGTCTCATAGATCAACTGAGGTGTTATCTCATATTTTCATCCTGGAATCTAACATCAATTTAGACAACAAATTTTCACTGGAAAAATGAAGAGTGAAAATAATTTTTAAAGAACAACTTCCATAAGGGTTTGAGTAATAAACACAAGCTGATTCTCCTTGAGATATGGCATCTACAAATGCTTTGTGTATGCCTTGAAAAAGTAGAAAAAACAAGTTTTCTCACATAATTGCTATGTTGCATGGATAGGTTATAGATATTATTTCAAAAAATGAAAATTCTAGCTGGGTGTGGTGCCACATGAGTGCCTTGCTAGTATTCAGGAGGCTGATGCAGGAGGATTCTCGGGTGTTCAGTTTCACACTGAGATACAGAATAAATTCAAGGCCAGTCTTAGCTACAAGGGAATAACCTGTCTCAAAAAAAAAAAAAAACCTTACATACTGAAAGAGGTAAGACAAAATGTAGAAGCAGTGTTACAGCAAGTGAACAGTGCCAAGTGTAGGTCTGCAGGCATGTCTGTAATTAAGTGGAGAATGGTATTCTGTCTATGGAAGAGCACATGAATATACATACAACATGGGAAAGCAGTGGATGGTGGTGGCAGGCAAAATCAGCTCCTGAACCAGGAATTTCCCTCTGAAAACTGCCTAGTGTGGAACTGAACTATGACTTCTATGCTCGTCAACTTGGAAAGTGATTCAGACATATAGGCTAAAAGAAAGTTACAACTTTAAATCATTATATACGCAATTGTCTTGTTACTACTACATTCACCTAATCAATTTTATGTTGATAGTAAATTGTTTTCTTTTTTTAGCTTAAAATTCCTTGGGCAACATTGTCTCTGTGTAATGGAGATAGTTTTTCATAAAAACAGGCAAAATTACAGGTATTTGTTGTGTTGGTAGAAATTGAGCTCAGGAACTTCTTTTAGGGAGTCGCTGACCTTTTATATTTTGACTTGTCATTATTTGGATTTTGTCACTTCTTCTCAGTATATAGACCAGGCTGAGCTTAAAGGCCTTTTAATCCTGTCACAGCCTCACAGAATTATATGATCACATGTGTGTATAAATAATATCACATATGTGTATAAAAATATACATTATAGGGGGCTGAGGATTTAGCTCAGTGGCATAAGCACCTGCCTTGCAAGCAGGCAGTCATGAGTTCGATCCCTGGTACCAATAAAAAGGAAAAAGACAATATATATATACCATTATAATAGTTCTCAGTTAAATTCAGCATAATATATTATAATTTTCGTGTCCAAAATGTTGTAATTTTTGTTGTTGGGAATATGCAGTGGCCATTTTGAAAGGCATTCTTGGGGGATTCCTTCTCTCCATAAGTTTCTGAATTAGACATTAGTTGTGTGTTGTATAGCTTTTATTGGAATGCATTATCCAGCACTGTGATAATTATTCAAGCTGCAGTTATGTCCACTGCTTTTTGTCATAAGCCACCATGAAGCAGCTTTTTTTGTTGTTCTGTTTCATTTTTTGAGCCAGAGTCTCACAATGTAGATCACACTGACCTTGAACTCACTCGGTAGCTCACAGTGGTCTTGAAGTCATAATAATCTTCTTGCCTCAGCCTCCTGAGTGCTGGGATTACAGACATGTACCACCACACCTTGCTTTCAGTTACAATTTTTTATGAGATGGGATCACATAGTCCAGGCTGTTAGTCTCAATTTTCTTTCAAGAAATATATGTATGATCCTGTAGGAGTCAATGACCTTTGAGGATGTGACTGTGAGCTTCACCAGTGAGGAATGGACTTTGCTCAATGCATTCCAAAAGAAGATCTACAGAGATGTGATGGAGGAAACCTTTCAGAACATTGTAACAATAGGTAAGAATGAAATCTCTTTCTTACTGATACATTCAGAAGAGATTGTTTTGTGCTCTTCAGTGCAGATTCATTAAACAGAATGTGCAAACAATTAGAAAAATTAATCTGGCCTGCTTATGTTATATCATGAATCTAACTGGCATGTATTAATTTTTATGTAATAATGTAGTGACTACTTTTACTTCTCTGTCTATAATTCAGAGAGACTCTTGGAAAACCAGAAAGTGGAAGAAGACTGCAATAACTATTGCAGAAATATAAGGTAATTTGCACTTTCTAGAAAAATACTCCTTAACATGAAATAAAAAATCCAACACCATCTTCAAATTTATTTAATTTCAGCAATACTCTCCAAAACTATATGCAACTTGAGTTCTACAGTCTGAAAGCTAAACACAACAATATTCCAACATAAGAAATGCAGTTACAACTGAAATTATACAAATAATGCTATCAGATTTGTAATATAAAAATGTTCTTTTATTAACATCATAAATATGTATGACATTGCCTTTAGGTGTTTTAAATAGCTGTGGTTGAGAGGTGATAGATAAAGAAAAGTAATATATTAGAAGAGGGAAGACAAATGGGATAAGACTAGAGCATGTAGATTGAATAGGAAATGGTATTAAAATTAATCAATATTTGTTATACATAAGTTACTCAAAATGAAACTAAAATTAGTGTATTATAAAATGTACCAATTGAAAATTTTTGAAAAACATACCACTTTTTAAGAAAAAGCTTTCTCCAAAGATCTCATTTTGTATTGTTTTAATTTATTATCAAATTTCTTAGGATGCATTAAAAAGCATGTGCGTGCATTAAAAATCATTGATATGGAGAGCCACTTTATATTGTCTTCTTTATCTTTTACAGAAATGATGACAGTGAGAAATGCCATCAATATGAAGGTTGGAATCAGCATAAAGAATGCTTCCTCTGCAATCAAGATGCTAATGTCTATTTGAAATTATGTGGTTTAATTCCAATTGAAAGTCTTTCTTGTAGAAAGCTTCAGATTGGGCCTTTTTCAATAAATATGCCCATCAGAGCTCACAGTGGAGTAAATCCAGATGAGTATTTTGAACTTAAAGGAAAACTGTTTAAATGTAATGAAAATAGAAAAAACTGTGATGATTTGCCATCCATTCAGAATCGTGCAAGGACAGAGGCTGGCAAGAAACAATGTGAACATGATCAGTGTGAGACATCCTGCTCTGGTCTTAGTGAAAGAACTCATCTTAGAAACAAAATGTTTGTATGTCCCAAAAAGCTTAATGTCTCCAGCAACCCCAGTGATGTTGAGATCTATCAGACAAACCAGAAGGGGGATATACCCTCTGTAGGTAAGCAATGTGGGAAAGCTTTCAGCACACATACTATTTCTCAACAAGATGAAACAATTCAGATGGAGGAGAAAAAGTATGTATATAAGCAATGTGGGAAAGCTTTTAGCACACAGAGTTCTTGCAAACTACATGAAAAATCTCACATTGGTGAGAAACCTTATGTATGTAAGCAATGTGGGAAAGGTTTCAGCACACAGAGTTATTGTAAAGTACATGAAAGATCTCACACTGATAAGAAACCTTATGCATGTAATCAATGTGGGAAATCTTTCAGCACACAGAGTTACTGTAAAGTACATGAATCATCTCACACTGGTGAGAAACCTTACATATGTAAGCTATGCGGGAAAGCTTTCATCACACAGAGTTCTTGCAAACTACATGAAAAAACTCACACTGGTGAGAAACCTTATGTATGCAAGCAATGTGGGAAAGCTTTAAGCACAAAGGAGAATTGGAAACTACATGAAAAATCTCATACTGGTGAGAAACCCTATGTATGTAATCAATGTGGCAAAGCTTTCAGCAAACAGAGTTATTGCAAATTACATGAAAGGTCTCACACGGGTGAGAAACTTTATGTATGTAAGCAATGTGGAAAAGCTTTCACCACACAGAGGAATTGTAAAGTACATGAAAGATCTCACACTGGAGAGAAACCTTATGTATGTAAACAATGTGGGAAGGCTTTCAGCAAACAGAGTTATTGTAAAGTACATGAAAAATCTCACACTGGTGAGAAACCTTATGTATGTAAGCAATGTGGAAAAGGTTTCAGCACACAGAGTTATTGTAAAGTACATGAAAGATCTCACACTGGTGAGAAACCTTATGTATGTAATCAATGTGGGAAAGCTTTCAGCAAACAGAGTTATTGCAAATTACATGAAAGGTCTCACACTGGTGAGAAACCTTATGTATGTAAGCAATGTGGAAAAGCTTTCACCACACAGAGGAATTGTAAAGTACATGAAAAATCTCACACTGGTGAGAAACCTTATGTATGTAAGCAATGTGGAAAAGCTTTCAGCACGCAGAGTTATTTTAAAGTACATGAAAGATCTCACACTGGTGAGAAACCTTATGTATGTAATCAATGTGGGAAAGCTTTCAGCACACAGAGTTACTGTAAAGTACATGAAATATCTCACACTGGTGAGAAACCTTACGTATGTAAGCAATGTGGGAAAGCTTTCATCACACAGAGTTCTTGCAAATTACATGAAAAATCTCACACTGGTGAGAAACCATATGTATGTAATCAATGTGGGAAAGCTTTCAGCACACAGAGTTATTGTAAAGTACATGAAAGAACTCACACTGGAGAGAAACCTTATGTATGTAAGCAATGCGGGAAAGCTTTCAGTATACAGGACTATTGTGAAATCCATGAAAGAACTCACATGCATGAGAAGTCTTATATGTAAGCAATGTGGGAAAGGGTTCAGCAGAAGCCAGGATTTTCAAATCCATGAAAAAAATCCCATTGGATAGAAACCCTATGATTATAAGGAATACTGGGAAAGCTTTCAGCAGTAGCAGTAACAGTAATGGTCAAAGACCTTGAAAAGGCTCACAATAGAGAGAAACTGTACGTGTGTAAGTTGGTAAGGCTTTCAGTACACAAAATTATTGTCAAAAATGTGAAAGAGTACACAGTGTAAAAACCCTATGTATAATAAATAAATTCAGTAGTGTAGCTGGATAGAAAATCAATACTCAAAACTCAATAACATTTCTATACACTAACAAAATGACAGAGAGAGAAATAAGAGAAGGCACACCCTTCACACTAGCAACCAAAAAATGAAATGTTTAGGAATTATTCTCATGGCAAAAGTGAAAGATTAATATAGGGAGAATTATAATGCACTAAAAAAGAAATTGAAGAGGATCACAGAAAATGGAAAGACATCACTTGCTTATGGATAGGAAGAATAAATATTGTGAAAGTGGCCATTCTCCCAAAGCTGTTATATGAATTCAATGCAATCCAAGTTAAAATACCATGAACATACCTTGTAGATCTAGAGAAATCACTCCTAAAATTCATCTGGAACCTGAAGAGACCTACAATAGTAAAGACAGTTTGAAGGGGGATGGGAATTTAGCTCAGCAGCATAAGCACCTGCCTTACAACAGGCAGTTGTGAGTTTGATCCCGGGTACCAATAAAAAAAAAAAAATTCTAAGTAGCAAAGGCAAGACAGGAGGCATCACAATCCCTGACTTAAAGTTATACTACAAAGCAACTGTAGTAAAATCAACATGGTACTGGAACCAAAACAGAGCCGAATATCAATGGAATAGATTAGAAGATACAAGCACAACTAAAAACACACTCAACCACCTTATGTTTGATAAAGGGGCCAAACATGTCCACAGGAAGAATGACAGTCTCTTTAATAAATGGTATTGGATAAACTGGCTCCTCGTGTGCCTAAAACTAAAAATAGACACATGCATATCACCATGTATTAAATTAAAATATAAATGGATCAAACATCTGAATGTAAAAAATAAACACTAAATCTATTGGAAGACAAATTGAGTAAAAACCTTGAAGACATAGGTGTAGGTAGAGAATTCATGACAGGAATCAAACTGCATGGGAAATATTTCCCAGAATCAACACCTGGGATAATGTATTATTAAAAAGTTTCTGCACATCAAAAGAAATCTCTAGAATAGTGAAAAGAAAATGTATAAACTGGGAAACAATCTTAGTGAACTGTCCGTCGGACAAAGGACTTCTGTCTAAAACATATAGTGAATTTTTAAAAATCAGATATCTAAAATTTAAAGATTCAATCCAAAAATGGTCATCTGAGATGAATACACAATTCTCAGATGAAGAAATACAAATGGCAAATATTATGTAAACAAATATTCATCATCATTACTCATAGAGAAATGCAAATTAAAACCACACTGAAATTCCATCTCACTCCTGAAAGAATGGCCAGGATCAAGAAAACTACCAATAATAAATGGTGGAGAAGCTGTGGGGAAAAAGGAACTCTCCTGCACTGTTGATGGGTGTGTAGACTGGTGCAACCATTGTGGACGTCAGTCTGCAGATTTCTCAGAAAGTTGGCATTGGAGTTATCATTTGTTCCCGCTATTCCTCTTCAAGACATATTCCCAGAAGAACTGAAAATATAGCAAAGTGATATATGTGCACCCATGTTTATAGCAATACAGTTTGTAGTAGCCAGATCTTGGAAACAACCTAAGTGTCCATCAACGAGGACACTTGATAAAAAAAAAAGTTGTGATATTTTATACAATGGTGTACTACTTGGCTATAAAGAATGATCACATTGAGTTATTTATAAATAAATGTGCACAGCTTGAGACCACACTCATAAGTGAAATAAATCAAACTCACATATATAAATGCCAAATAGTTTTCCTAATGTAAGAAATGGTAAGAATACATAAAAATATGTGGTAATCATGATTCCCCATAATATTGCTTTTGAAGCTTCATAATTTTTTCATTCATGAATTTGAATGGTTTCCTTCTGGGTTGTTTGATTTTATTGTCTGTGATGGTAGGAACAGCTTTTTTGAAGAAAACAAGACATAATAGCTAGTGCTGATTTAATATCATCTTGTTTTAAAGTCCCACTAGGATTTTGTTCTCTCTGCATCAATTTTATCATGTTATATCTTATTGGATTTTATTATATGTGATAGTATAAACAAAAATTTTTATAGATAAGGAAATAATATAGCAACCATTGTTCATTTTCTGTTAGTTGGTTCTTAATATCCTGTAATACTTTCATTCTCTTGAATGGTTTCACATTGTCTTTTTATATTTGATACCATGGTATATGAAGGTATACTCAAATATTTCAAGGAAACAGACACTATGGGTAGCTACTTTTATGTCGGGTAGTCTTGTGATGAAACACTGTGTTGCTTAAATTGTTCTGTTCTGACCTGTGTCCTCTTTTAATCTTTTTTTCAAAATAAAAATTAAAAACCCTATATATGCTAGCAATGTAGAAAGAGATTTTCTAAGTGTTAATTACATACACATTATGAAGCTAATTGAGGAGAAGCCCTGTGTGCATAAACAATGTGGAAGAACATTCAGTGCACACAAGTTAACTACATGACTATATATATTTTATGTCAAATCAAAAAGCATCATGGGAAGAAACTATATGTAAGCTGATTAGGAAAAGCCCATAAAGATGTTTCATTTAGTGAAATTCTGTAGCAATAAAACAAAGCATTCTATGTCAATGTTTCCTCACAAATGTTCCAGAGAAAACAAATCCCAGCTGAAGATATGAGAAACTACATACATTGAGTGGTTTCAATATATCACATATATGAATTATTTATGTGAAGTGTTTAAAAATATTGAGTAGACTGAATGAGGTGTTTTTATCTGAGTGTCTGAGCTTAGTCCGTAATGTCCTAATGAAGCATGGTTGATCCAAATGTAATTTTTACTTTCAAGTACCATTTATGTTTCATGTTTGTTTTTATTTTATCCTTAATATTGGGAAAAATAGGCCATTAGACATCTTTTGTAATTGTTACCATTAGAATTTTGCACTATTTTTAAAAATTTTTGTGTGGGTTTTCTATATTCTGTGTAAGGAACATTTTTAATTAGATGCTATATTTTCTACTGATACCTATTTTCAAAGACATGTCAACATGAGTTTTTGACAAAGTTGAATTGTGTTCACACACCTTGTAGATTAGCAAATTTTGTTTTTCATATGACATGACAAAGTTCCTGCTTTTACACCAACAGTGGTGTATATTGTGTCATGTAAATATGTTGCATCCTTTTCTTTCAATACATTCATTTCCATAAAGTTTTATTTTTTTCTCATAAAATTTTTTATATTTACATTGCAATGCCTTAATTTTCTTTTCTGGTATCTTTTAAGCACAGATACCAAACATAGGCTATATTGCTCAATGTTTTTCACTGCCAGTATCCCACTGTTGTAGAATTCAAGATATCAGACCTCGGGGATTGGACTTTAGAACCTGGCTGGGGGCAATCAGGGGCATGAAAACAATCAGCAAATTATAACAATGTTGGAAGAAGACAGAATTTAGGAACCCCGTAAGAGCAAGATGACATAAACTCTTCACAGTACATAGCTTTCAATCTTGCCTCTAGAAGAACAACAACATATAGATACAGTGGAAGAGGGGCAACTTTGGGGGGAGATTATCTCTAACTCCCATTTCAACACATGACCATAACTTGCCTTTATAGGAAATCATTATTTACAGTAATCTGTCCAGAATATATCAATCATGGTATAACACCCATGGTTTCAATGCAATGTTCATCTTGTTGGACCTTTTCTCTGGAGCATGTTTGTTACTGGATTTTATGAGATAATGCCTTGTTCTATTCCATGATACTTTGATGCCATAATGTATTTTGTAATTGTTTTTACATAGGAAGCTATAATATTGACATGAAGGAAAACCAGTGTCCTCACATGTCAGTGAACTCATTAAAAACACAAATATCTGAAATTGTTATTTATACTGTGTTCTTGCCTATTTTTGGATACATTTCTATGATGATATTTTTAATTGATTGTAAGGTCAATCCTCTAAGGTTTTTTTTTAAAGAGTAAAATTAAACATAACAAAGCAGATCATAAGATAACAATGTAAAAGACACAGATTTTAAAGCAAGAAAACTGGAGATCTTCACTGTGTATCATTATGTTTTCTTCTGAATAGTTGTCCATATCTTCACATGTAATGAATTCATACAAAACAAAGTAGTAAAGACCTGACCAGAACTGGATGATGAAGGCATTTTAGATCTTCAAGACCAGATAATAAATAATTCAAAAATAGCTACCCTAATGTCTCTCATTCTTTCTAAAATAGCTATATATACCTTCATGTATGTTGAAATTTACAAAATCAGAACACACTAAAATCACTTTAAACAAAGGATAATAGTATTACTTAATTTCACATTATGGCACTATGGAATCTGCACTGCTCTTTTTTCTTCAAAGTAACTGTTTCATCATGCATTATATTACCACTTCTCATAAACTTTAGAAGATCTAGGGATGTATAGGTATACATGTATACCTATCCTTTCTGTATTAGAGGGAAGAACAAAACAAACCAAGACACAACAAAACAAATTCCTAGACAAATATGAAACAAAGACACATAAACAACAGTAACAAAGAGTCCAAAACACTGATAGTTTAAGCCTTAAAAACAAGATGGTATGGTCATAACTAGGGTTTTTATTTTACATAATGATCTTCAAGAGTTCCTCAGATCACTATACAAAAATATGCACAACTGTTCCAATTCTATGAGTGTTAACTATTTTGTTTCAAGAATTTATAATTTGTGGTGAAACTGTCTTAGCTATCCTAAGTGTGTTTATATAATTTTAGACATTGTTTCTTTTCCCTACTTTCCCCTGAGATATTATTTTTCCCTTTTAAGCAGATTATTATCCATTCACTGTAATCATTGCATTTTTGTATCTTATGTACTCTTACCAATTCTTACACTCAAGAGACTATAAGGTATTTACAAATGTCTGTTTGATTTATTTCACTTATGAGTATGGTTTCTTACTTGTAAATATCTCAATGAGATCATTCTTTATAGCAGAGTGGTACTCCATTGTATAAAAATACCACAACTTTTTTAATCCATTTCTCAGTTGATGGGCACATAGTTGTTTCCAAGATGTGGCTATTACAAATTGTGCTGCTATAAACATGGATGCACATATACCACTGTGGTATGATGTTATCAGTTCTTCTGGGAATATGTCAGAAGTGGGATAGCTAGAACAAATGGGACTTCCAATCCCAGCTTTTTGAGGAACCTCCAGACTGACCTCCACAGTAGTTGCCCAGTCTACACTCTCACCAACAGTGCAGACGAATTCCCTTCTTCATACAGCCTCTCCAGCGTTTGTTGTTGGTAGTATTCATAATCCTGGCCATCGTTTCTGGAGTGAGATGGAACCTTTGTATTGTTTTAATTTGCATTTATCTATTGACCACTGATAATGAACATTTTTTCATGTGTTTATTTCCCATTTGTATTTCATCTGAGAATTGTGTATTCATCTCAGATTCCCATTTTTGGATTGGATCTTTGAATTTTGGGGATCTGATTTTTTTATCTTCATATATTCTAGACAGAAGTCCTTTGTCTGAGGGACCATTCACTAAGGTCTTTTGTTTCTTCCAAATTTGCGCGTTTTCTTTTGGCTATGCTGGAGATTTCTTTCAACATGCAAGCACTATTTAATAGGGTGCAATCCCAGTTAATGATTCTGTGAAGTATTTTGCATGCAGATTGATTCTTGTTCATGAATTCACTATCTATTCCTATGTTAAGAATTCTACCTAGTTTGTCTTCCAACAAATGTAGTGTTTCTGTTTTAATATTTAGATCTTTGATGCCTTTTGACATTAGTTTAGTATGCAGTATGGGTAGGCATGGATCTAGTTTTAGCTTTTGGTGTATGGAGAGCAAATTTTTGCAGTGCCACTTATTGAAGAGACTATCTTCCATTGGATGTGTTTGGCCCCTTTATCAAAGATAAGGTGGCTGAATGTGTTTATTGTTGTAGTTGTATCTTCTGATGTACTCTATTGGTCTTCAGGTCTTTTTTATTCTAGTATCATACTGATTTTATTACAGTAGCTTTGTAGTAGAACTTCAAGTCAGAGATTGTGACGCCTCCTGCCTTGTCTTTGTTGCTTGGAATTGCCTTTGCTAATCTAGGGTCTCTTCTGGATCCAGATGAATTTTAGGCATGATTTGTCTAGATCTGTGAGGTACACTAGTGGTATTTTGATTGGAATTGCATTAAATCTGTATAATAATTTTTGGAGAATGGACATTTTCATAATGTTTTTTCTTCCTATCCAAGAACAAGGGATGCCTTTCCATTTTCTGAGATCCTCTTTGATTTCTTTTTCAGGGTATTTTAATTTTCCTGAACAGATCTTTTGCTTCTCTGTTATATTAATTCTTGAGCATTTCATTTTGTTGGCTGCTATTGTAAAGGGGTGGCTTCCCTTATTTCTCTCTCTGTGGTTTTGTTAATGTATAGGAATGCTATTGATTTTTGAGTGTTAACCTTGAGTCTAGCTACATTGCTGAATTTATTTATTATACCTAGAAGTCTTTCAATGAAGTTTTGAGGGTCTTCTATGTAGAGTATCATGTCATCTACAAATAATGATAATTTAATCCATTTATTTCTTTCTCTTGTCTAACTGGTCTGGATAGTATTTCCAACACTATATTGAATAGGAGTGGTATTAATGGAAATTCTTGTCTTGTTCGTGATTTTAGGGTAAAAGCTTCAGTTTTTGGCCATTTAATATTATTCTGGCTGTCGGGTTTTCATACATAGCTTTTATCATATCAAGGTAAAGCCCATCTATTCCATATTTCTATAAGGTTTTTCTCATGAATAAGTGTTAGACCTTATCCAAAACTTTTTCAGCATCTGTAGAAATTATCATGTAGTTATTATTTTTGGCTCTGTTGATATGGTGGATTACATTTATTGATTTGAATAGCTTGAACCATCCCTGTATTCCTGGGATGAATCTCACTTGATCATGGTATATAATCTTCTTGATGATTTGCTGCATTCTGTTTGCTAAAATTTTATTGAAAATTTTTGCAACTATGTTCATTAGGGAGACTGCCCTGTAGTTCTCTTTTTTGCTTGAATCTTTAACAGGTTGTGGTATTAGAGTAATGTCTTCTTCCAGGAATGAGTTGGGGAGAATTGCTTCACTTTCAGTGGCATTGAAGAGTTTGAGCATTAAATCTTCTTTGAATTTCTAGTATAATTCCACAGTGAATCTCTCTAGATGTAGGTATTTCTTTGTTGGTAAGAATTTAGTTACATTTTCAATATCATTAATTGAATTTTGGTTATTCAGCAGTTTTCCATATTCTTAAGTCAGGTTTGGTAATTCATATGTTTCTAGGAATCTGCCCATTTCTTTTGTGTCCATTTCTCAAGCCTTTGAGAGGAGAGGTTTTTGAAACAGGTATTGATGATCTTCTGTATTTCCACAGGGTCTGTAGTGATTTCACCCTTTTCATTCCTTGTTGCATGAATTTGAGATTTTTCTTTACTAGTTTTAATAATGTTGGCTAGAGGCATGTCACTTATTGTTTCAAAGAATCAACTTTTTGATTCAATGATTCCTTGTATTGTTTTCTTAGTCTCTATTGCATTGATTTCTGCTCTGACCTTTATAATTTCCTTCCTTTTTTTGTCTTTGGGCTTACTCACTCCTCTTTTTCTAGATGTGTTAGGTGTATCATCTGGTTGTTTATTTGTGTTTTTGTTGTTTTCCTAATGTGGGAGTTCACCACAGTAAATTTTTCTCTGAAGACTGCTTTCTTTGCATCCTACAGGTTCCAATAAGATGTATTTGTATTTCCATTTGCATGCAAATTTTGTTTAATTTCTTCTTTAATTTCCTCTGTGACCCACTTGTTACTCAGTTTCCATGTGTTTGTGGTATTTTTGCAGGTTTTTAAACCTTAATTTCTAGTTTTATGGCACTGTAATCCAATAATATGCACAGAATTATTTCATTTCTTTTGCATTTACTTATGCATGTTTACTTAAGCATGCTAGTAGATAGTCTATTTTAAAGAACATTCCATGTGCTGCTGAGAAGAATGTAAATTCTAATGTTGTTGGATGGAACACTCTGTATGCCTCTACTAAGTCCGTTTCTTCACAGTTGAGATTTAATTCTGTTATTTCTTTATTGATTTTCTATCTATTTGATCTGTCCCTTTGTGTCAATGGCATGTTAAAATCTGTTATAATTGTGCTTTTGCTTATTTGATTTTTCATTTCTGTTAATATTTGTTTCGTGCATATATATTTAATATGGTTATCTCTTCCTCTTTTTACCCTAGCTAGTATGTAGTGACCTTCTTTATCATTTTCTATTATTCATGATTTGAAGTTCACATTGGCGGCAAACAGAAGAACTACTCTCACTTTTGGGGGGTTGTTGTAGTCTGGGGTTGTACACAGAGAACAATTCAGGTCAGGACATGGAGTTTGTAATATTTTTATAATGGTCACTGGAAGTTAACACAGGAGAATGCAGGAAATCTATCCACAACACCAATGACATAGATTATTTAAGTCAAGAGCCTAAACCCCATGGCAATGTCCCACATGAGTCCAGATAAAAACCCAGAGCTCAGGACAACGCCTCCACGAGTCCAACTGGAAGTCCAGGGCCCACAAGGACTCATGCCAGTCTCTTTTACGGATTCGTGCTGGGAAGACCCAAGGGTCAGTGGTGGAAGCCAGAAAGTCCATGCCAGCAGGATGAAGGAGCTGTGCTAGTGGGATGAGGGTTCTATACTGGAGCTGAGAAGTCACACTCACAACAAAGAGCAGGGCTGTCCTGAAAGGAACCACAGCTGTCCTCAGCGACACGGAGGCCCCGAGCTCCGACGACAACAAGCACAGTCGGGAACGTGCCAGGAAGCAGCATGCCGAGTTCACCCTGGAGACCAGGCAGCACATGTCTTCCCCTCCGGAGCCAGGAAGCAATGTTCGATGTGAAGACCAAAGCTCCTCCAGGAGAACCAACAGCTCAGACAGCAACTTGTAGGAGAACTAACAATGCCTCCATAATGCCTCAATCCCTCTCCCACCTCTCTTCTTCTCCACCTATTTATCCTGGCAACCCTCCTCAGGTGGAGCATCTTCTCTCAATACATGCTGATGTAATCCAGCTGGCATTAAGTTGACCACTAGTTATCAAACCATAACAGGGGTATCTTGTTGAATGGAGTATTG